ACCAAATAACAGTAAACAATGGATACAACGAGCAAACAATTAATAAAATTTTAAATTAAAAACTACACAAGAAAGCCCTGAAATTAGTATTTTCCCTACCAGAGAAAAAACCCAGTACCTTCTGCTTGATTACATATACAGGCAAAATATCAACAAAAATTTCCAAACACATAAAAAAGAAAGGAATAACACCAGCTTTCAGAACTAACAACAACGTAGGCAAATATATTAAAAACAACGAGAGCCAAAATAAAAAACACTTACACCGTGGTGTGTACAAACTTAAATGTGACGACTGCCCAAAAACTTACATCGGTCAAACTGGTAGAAATTTTAATAAACAAATAGCAGAACATAAAAGGGCTTTCAATAATAGAAAAAACAGATTCTACATACGCACTTCACCTTCTAGATCATAATCATTCTTTTAATGACGAATTTTAAATTCTTCACATTCAACATAAAGGCTTTAAGCTATAGTTGTTTAAATCTATGGAAATTAACAAATTAAAAAACACAGATATAATTGTGAATGACCAACTTGAGACAAACAGTTCTCCCCTCCTCAACCTATTTCATTAAATACTATAAAGTGTAAACGCATACCAAAAATAGATCACTTGAGAAAGGCACTCTGTCGAAACAGCTGTAGTGATAAGATTTTATAATAATTTTTGTAGAAGTTTTGAAAACAATGTTTTCAGTGTTTTATTGTTACATAAATTAAAATCAAAATATTGAAATGGGTGGGGCATGCTTCAAGGATGAAAAATAAGAATCCGTTCCGAAATAGATGTTTGAAAAACTTGTAAGACAGACACCACGCAGAAGACAAAAAAACACTTCCTGGACGATGTGGAAACAGACCTGGAATGGCACACATTCAGGGCCTGAATGAGAAAGACAGGAATGACTTTTTAAGGGAAGCGAAGGCGCATGAGAGACTTTGAGAGCTATAAAGAAGAAGTAGCAAGGAGAAGAATAACTTTTTACGGGAGAAGGATTTGGGTACAAAATTCATACCTTGGAAGACTTAACAGGAATAAAATTATAAAATTGAGTATTTAAAAACTTCTCGAAAGATTTTGAATTACTTACAAGAACAAAAGCTGCAAAGCTTTGGTTTAACAAATGCTTTGTTATTTCAAAGACTTCAGATAAATGAAGCACTACTATCAGCAGTCCTGCTACTTCCCTTAATCTGGTATGTGCTGTTGATAGCATAATGAATTAAAAAAAAAATAGCCTGGCACTTGGAGTGTTCAGGGCGTCAGTAGTGAATACTGCTTATAGCGTGTTATTACCATATCTAGGATAATGAAATTTTATATCTGCTTATTACGGAATTGTTTATATTTTTTATAATTACACTACACATTTAAATTCAAAAAATCTTAATTTTTTCTTTAAAAATTTTGTTTATTGATTTTATAACTTTTAAAATTCATTAAATATAATTTAGAATTTAGAATAGAATAGAATTTATTCATCATATCCATTATTATTATTATCTATATAATTTTATAATTCTTTAAAAAATTTTATATATTTTTTTTGTAATTCTATTTAAGTTTATATATTTTATTTATTTTATATAATTTTATTTAATTTTACTTTATTTTACATAATTTGATTTAATTGTATTTAATTTTATATAATTTTTATAATTTTTTTATGATTATTTATATAATTTTTTACAATTTTACTTTTACTAAATTTTGCTTAAATTTGTTTAATTTTTAATTTTATGTAATTTTATTGAATTATATTTAATTTATTATATTTTATTTCATACAAATAATTTTAAATTAAAATTAAAAGTCTTTCTTGAGTGTTTAAAAATATATCATGTATTAAATAAAATTATAATAAATGTATAAAGTATTTTCCACCTAAGACGACCGCTTTGAAATCAAATGCTGGTAACTTTATTTACACTACCTTTATGAATAGCATTTTACTGCTGTTGTTTCAATCAGCACTGCTCAACACGTTATCGTTTATTAATTTTAATATTTTATTGCAATAGTACGAGTATGGAATATTTATTTAAACAGTGAATTTATTACATGTTATTTTTTTTTTATTTCTTCTGACGTATCGTATAATGTAGGTTTACCCAATAATCAAAGTTGTGCCTTTACAAGAACATATTATTTAAAAAATAAGGAGTACCATGTGTCATAATACTTGGAATACTCCAGAAGAATGGCGTTTAGTTCTGAAAGTCGAAAGGTATTTCAATTTGGAAAAAAAGTAATATGGGTCCATTGACATCTATTATTGCAGTTCAGAAACGCACATGCGATGCTTGCGGTAACTCAGAGAGGACATTCCGAAGAATTAATAACATGAGTGAGGATGAAATAAATAAAGTAAGCAAGAGAAATCGTCGACATTCAAAAACTTTTGCACCAGTCAATTAAACTGGCAATTCAAAATAATTATATATACAGTAAAACTTTCTTTAAGCGAAACCTTTTTAACCGAAACATCGTTTAACCGAAATGGCTGACAGTTTAAAAAGTGAATTTTTATCGCAAAACGTAAACAATTCCATTAATTTCACTCACCGATTGATGCCGATGTGTGTTGGGAAATAAAAAAACTAAGAGCTCTAAAAGATATTTGAGCACTTCCAGTTTTTTATAGAATCCAAAAAAGCTCATGGATGTCGACCACTTTATTTTCAGAATGGTTCGAAAATTAATTCAGCCCAAGTGTAAAATCCTGTTTAAAATGAAAAAAAGCTTCCCATCAAAGCATTGTTGCTTGTTGACAATGTGCCAACTTATCCTCAAAATCTACGCAATAATGATAATTGTCAGATTTTTGCCACCAAATGTGTTAGACCAGGATGTAATAGAGATATTCAAGAGACATTATAGAGGAGCATTTTTAAGACATCTGTTATTACAGGAGATGAATTAATCCAAAAGTGTTCCCGAAATTCTCAAATCTTCAACAATGAAACATGTTGTTTATCGGTGTGCTGAGTTCTATTAGAAAACATTACGAAATTACCTCATAGTATTTTTTAATACCAATACTTTAACCAAGAATACTATAAAAAACGATGATATTCTTAACCGAAATTCTTCTTATCAAAAGAACAGATCTTTCATTCTTATCATTCTTATCAAAAGAAAAGAAGTGTTACAAAAAATAATAGACAAGTATTGTGTGAACTCTCTAATTTTGTTTCAAAACGGTGGCATTTTTTAAGAAAATACATGAACAGTAAAACGTCTGATAGTCCAAGGCAAGTTTTATTTTTAGATGAAACTTGGATTTTCGCTAAAGGAAATATGTCAAAATCATCCTGGCAAGATGGCACCACGAAATGTTATTCTTCTAGTCGTTCCGGTAATGGTAAATGCTACATTATACTTCATGCTGGAAATGATGAGGGTTTTATTCCTGACGCTAGTTTAATTTTTTCGTCCACAAAGAATACAGGTGGTTACCATGGAAATATGGATGTAAATATTTTTGAAGAATGGTTTGACGAAAATTTGTTAAAAAAATTGGAGCGACCATCCATAATAGTGTTGGATAATGCATCCTACCACCCAAGAGTAGAAAGAGAGATTTCCTTTAATCAGCTGGACAAAAAAAAATAAAGTTGTTGACAGAAAAGAAAATTTATCAGTGACATATTTTAAAGTCGATTTACTTCAAAGGTGTGGAGAGCACAAAATTCAAAAGAAATTTGTTATTGCCCAAATGGCTCTTAAGTATGGCCATAAAGTTCTTTGACTTCCGCCCTACCATTGCCACTATAATGCAATTGAGTTAGTTTGGGATATAGCCAAAAATTTTTATGAGAAACATGCATCCAAAACAACAGATGACGTTAGCGTTCTTGGTTTATGGAAAGAATCGCTAGAACAAATAAAGACCAATGGCGAGCGAGTTATAGATGAGGTCCGGCCTCTAATTATTCGGATAGACAATTTAGTTAGTGACGACTCTGATAGTGAAATATCTGACAGTGAATAGGACAAATCGTTTGCTAACAAAAAAGTGTTTCGGGAATTCAATTCGGACTTTGTCGTGTATTTTAGTTAAACGATAAAGTACATATTCGGTCTAATTACTGGACTGCGTACTCTCAATAGCTTTGGTAATAAATACTGGACTACACGTGTTTAAACCTTTTGCTTTGCTGAAAATTCGAAAGTGATTTAGTGCCAATTTGTTTCAAGGTTATATTTAATACAGTATCTGCAGAAAGTAAAGTCTTGAATGTATATTATTCAAATTTGGACATACCAGCAACTTGGCAAGTATTTTCCAATTTTACTGCATGCAAAACCATTCGTATAATTTTCACTCTTCGCAAAATAGAGACTTATAGAGACCTTGATGAACATTTGATGTCGAAAAATAATTTCGAGTATTCGAAATATTCCGTCCCACTTCTTTTAACACACCCTGTATATACATATTATATTCATTTTATTTGCCTTTGATACAGTAAAATCCAATATTATTACTTAATATAAAATAAAGGAAATTAAATATTTTTACTTTTCAAGCGATCGGAATTAAATATTAACGCCCCACTGATCATATCTTAATTGCATATCGGCGGTCATAGTGTAAAAGGATTTTATCACGTGTTATCTCAGCATGATATTATAAAAGATATGTCATTTTCAACGGAAATGAAATTTAGCAGAATTAATTAAAAAATAAATTAAGAAATTGCTTGTTCATATTGTTTTGGCGAGACCATCAGTTATCGCAAATGATATTAGGTGTCATTTTCAGTGTTTATCGTAAATCGGTAGATAACATAAACAAAGCTGGATGTGTTAAGACACTATTCAACTATTAATTACTCAGCATTTATTATAATCAAAGCTGAAAGAAGCTTAATAATTTAAAATCTACATTGTCAAACGCACATTTGTGAAAATTCTAAAAACAAAACTTCTATTCGTTTTATACTTCGATTATAAAAAAGGCCACAATAAAATTAAATTTATACTAACCTTTTCCCATGCTTAATTAGGAAGATAAACTGATTGGTCTGTATAATAATTTTAACTTTGATCCTGTAAATAAAGAATATTTTAAAAGGGAATCGCAGTAACCAGGTGTTTGACAAGAGTTTCTGTTAATATACTTCTTAAGTAATTGCACAAAAAGAAACTGTAGATTCTACACTTCAAAATATTACGATTTAAGCCAACTTACTCTAATAAAATGTTGATATTAAGAAAGTTACAGGGTGTTCAAGTGGGAATTTAAAATTTTATTTTTCGCTATAACTTTCATGTTTGTGAACATTTATGTATAAACATTCACTATTGCGTACTTTTAAATACGAAAAATTATAATTTGATAGAAACTTTGATGTAGCTGATAGAGGGCGCCACATATGTGACATACATTTGCACTTAACATTTATGCTCTTCAAGTTACCGATATTTGAAATAAAGAATATTAAATACACATTATTTTCACAAAAAAAAGGTATACGTGTTAATCACTTCAAAAGTCAACAGTTTTTGAAATAATTGCATTTCACAAATCAGTTGCATAATTCTGATTTAACGCAATTACTCCAGGCAACGAAGGAAAAATAGACAAAATCATCCATACTTCTGAATTTTGGTATAAAATACCTTCCACTAAACTTGATAGTTAACGAAATGTTAATAGAATAAATATATCAGTAATATAAGTAATCATCATCATCATCAACTAGCCTCTAACGTCCACTGCTGAACATAGGCCTCTCGCATGCTCTTCCACTTAGTCCGATTTTGCGCCATCTGAATCCAATTTGTACTTACTCTTTTTATGTCATCTGTCCATCTCGTTGGGGGTCGACCTCTATTTCTGTATGCTTGTATTCGGGGTCTCCATTCCAAAATTCTTTTTGTCCACCGGTCATCAACTGATCTTGCTACATGACCTGCCCAGTTCCACTTTAGTGTTGTTATCCTTTCAATAACGTCTGCTACTCCTGATCTTTTGCGTATAGTAGTATTGGGTATAATATAAGTAATACAACTCCAGTATAGAAACTTATAGAAACGATAGAGAAAGAAAATTGTAAACATGATGGCGGCCAACGTCTGAATACGGACACGGCACCTAATGAAGAAGATAGAAGCTTCTCTCCAATAAACATTTAACAGCCATAACAAAGCATTTTGTGATGTTACATTATCATTTTTGAGTTGTTTTAATAAGAACAAACTATTCATTATGCTTATCCACAGGTATTCAGTGCTTTACCGCATAAATATAACTAAGAATTCTTATGCAGCTGACTTATAAAATGCGATTATCTCGAAAACGGTTGATTTTTAAAGTTATTAACAAGTATACCTGTGGCCGATATCAGCTTTTGTGGAGGAAGAGTTCTGAACCAAGTAGGGATTCTTCAGACAGACTGAGCGAGGAAGTCCTCAACCCCGACACGCCGCGTCCCATATGGCTAATAGGAGACGTCCTATATATTATACAGGATAGGTGCGAATAAGACTCGCCAAATAAGCACCCGCGGATTAACTGAGGACATGGTATAGGGCAGCAGCTATGTCATTACTAACTCCAAGCTCTCAACAGGCTTGGAATCAGATACTTATGGGCGACAATCAGATATTTGTTTAATCGGTTATAATACTGCGGTATGTAAGGCAAGGAGAAACCCACACACTAAATATTCTCAAGATATTATAACTATGGCAAGTTACGGAAAACAAAAGGCCCCTAGTCCGTAGCAGACCTTAGATGGTCAAGGAGTGCTAAGAATCCCCACGACAAATGCTAGGAACCATCCGAAAGTGGAAAACAAAAATTAGAAGTTAAAAATTGGAACCTAGAATGCAAAATCTCTCTTTATGCCAGGAAAATCTCATAACATCGTGAGAGAAGTGGAAAGAATGGGAGTCAACATTCTCGGAGTCAGTGAAGTTCGATGGCCTGGATCTGGACAGACAAACATCAATAACCATGTAATATACTATGCTGGTAATGACGATCCTCATCATTATAACGGAGTGGCATTTATAGTTGACCAGAAAAGCAGTAAATGTATGTATAAAGAACTTTATACCTATATCTGATAGAGTAGCTATGCTGCAAATTAATACCACTCCTCGTAATGTTAACCTTATTTAAGTATAATATGCTCCTACAGCAGAAAATTCAGAAAGAGAAGTACGAGAATTCTACCAAGAGATCAAACAACTAATGAAGATCACAAAGAAAAATGCTGTAAACATTATGGGAGATTTTAATGCCAAAGTAGGTGAATGGCGGACCGAAGACGTAGTAAGAAACTTTGGTTTGGGCCAAAAAATAATAGAGGAGAAATACTGGTCCAATTTTGCCAAGCAGAAAATCTAATGATCGCAAACACTTGGTTTAAACAACTAAAAAGAAGATTATATACATGGAAAGCACCTGGCGGTGGCGATAATCAAAACCGCATAATAAGAAACCAGATTGATTATATATTAATTGTTGTTGGTAAAATTTAAATTAAACTACAGAAAATCAAATACAGAGAGAAGATAAAAGCTAGCCTCGAAAAACTTAAAAATCCAATAGTACAGGCAGAAATAGAGAACACACTCAATGGTACACTCAAAGAAAAGTTCAGTGAAGCACCCGCGGAAGCAGAAGAAACAATATAAAGTATTTGGCACACCTTCAAAACAACAATCACAACTATACAGAGAGAACAACTATAAGACAACATCAGAAAAACAAAAAATATATGGATGACAATTTTACAACTGATCCTTAAAGGCAAAATAGAGGGCCGTAGAGGTGTAGGAAGAAAACAAGTTTCTTGGTTAAAAAACATTCGTGAATGGACTCAGACACCAAATGCAGGACAATTATTCCATATTGCAGAAGATCGAGAAGCCTTCGCAATGGTGATCGCCAACGTCGGATAAATCTGATATGGCACGCGAAGAAGAAGACATGGATGACAGAAGAAGTCAACTGATGGGCAGAAGGAGATCTTACAAAAATCGCAATGAAGAAAAATATAAATAAACTAAAGATTTAACTAAGAACCTAAAGATTTACTAAAAAAGCATGACTACTTTAATGCATAAAAAGATTAAGGAAGTCACAAATATGAAGAAAAAAGTCACTACAACAACTTTAGTAGATGATAACAACCAAATAGTATCTGGTCCAGAAAATGTAGGAGATATGTGGGAAAAATACATCAAAGATCTGTTTGATGACGAGAGAACAGAACGACAAATGAATATAGTACAAAAAACAGTACTTGATATATTAACATCGGAAGTTACAAAAACAATCAATACGGCAAAGCCGCGAAAAGCCTCAGGTCCAGATGAAATATACATAGAGATGATAAAGCTTATCAGTTTATTATTAGCGTATTATTTAACAAAATATATACCCCTGGAATCTTCCCAGAAGACTGGCTTATATTGACATTTATACCTATGCCCAAGAAAAATAAAGCAAATAGATGCTCACAGTTCCGATTAATTAGCCTGATGAGCTATTTTCTGAAAATTTTACTCAAAATTGTACATCAACGAATATACAGAGAATGCGAAAAAAACCTGAGCGACAATCAATTTGGATTTCGTATGGGGCGAAATTCCGAGATTAGCGAAAAGACGTGTTTCTCTGTTCTATCGACTACGAAAAAGCATTTGATCGAGTAAAACACACAGAACTCATAGAAACCCTAACACAACATGGTATAGACCATAACACTGTAGCACTTATTAAAAAACTATATTGGGATCAAATGGCGTCGATCAAAATAGACAATTATTGTCTGACAGCAGAATTGCCAATAAAAAGAGGAGTTCGTCAGGGCTGTGTACTTTCTCCACTGTTATTTAACATGTATTCCGAAAAGATCTTTCAAAATGCCCTCGAAATTATTGAAGAAGGAATAAAAATCAACGGAGAATACATAAACAACTGAAGATACGCAGACGACACCATCATCATTGCGGACAGTGCTGAGGGTTTACAACGACTTTTGAATGTCATAACCAGAGAGGGAGATAGCTTGGGACTAAATATAACGACAAATAAAATAAATGTAATGGCTGTTACAAGTGCACCAAATGTCGACAGTAATATTCGTATCTATAACAAACATATCGAACCAGAATAAAGATTCCAGTATCTTGGTTGCTGGATCACAAACGATCTTGACCACGAGGTCGAAATACGTGCTCGTATAGAATATTCTAGCTGCGCATTTCTACGAATGAAAAAAATCCTAATAAACTCTACGTTATCGTTGGATATCCGATACCAATTTGTAAAAACGTTTATTTATTCCATATTGCTATACGAAGTGGAAACATGGACTCTCGGAATTACAAGTATGAGGCGTATAGAAGCCTTTGAGATGTGGGTTTTTCCAAGGATGCTGAAGATCTCTTGAACAGAGCACGTGACCAACAACGAGGTGCTAAGAAGAATGGGTACTGAGAGGGAACTCCTAAATATTGTAATAAACAGAAGAACGAGTTATCTAGGACATCTTTACAGAGTAGAAAAATACAACTTCCTACGACTTATAATGAAAGGGAAAGTGGAAGGAAGAAGAGGCCCAGGAAGAAGAAAATGCTCCTGCTTGAAGAATGTAAGAGACTGGACGGCATGGACACACATTCGATACTAAGGACAGCTCAAGATAGAGAGCAATTTGCTGTAGTTATGGCCAACCTTCAGTAATGCAGAAGACATATTAAGAAGAAGAACAAGTATACATTTTCTTTTTAAAAATAATGCATCTTTAATATTTTTAACACAAATAGCGCACAAATAACTTAAAGAGCAAAAAAGTTAAGCGCAAATTTATGCCACATGTGATGCATTTGTGGCGCCCTCTATCAGCTACATCAAAGTATGTATAAAATTTTAATTTCTTCTACTCAAAAGCTAAATGTTTATTCATAAATGTTTACAAACGTGAAAGTTATGGCGAAAAATAAAATTTTAAATTCCCACCTTGAACACCCTGTAAC